CCCATGTTACCCAAGGGGAAGCACGGGGAGGGGTCTGACACCTGCCCTTGGCACAACCCGGCCCCTCCATCCTCCACTCCAGCTCCCCAAAGCTGCCCCGTGGCCCAGAGCCTGGGGGTCTGGCGTGAGCCCGCATACCCCGTGGGGTGTCAGGGCTGGGCTGAGCGCCTGCTGCCGGGGCTGCCGATTCCTTTTGTGCAGCTGCCCCGCTGCAGCCTGCCTGCCCGCTGCACTGCTGCTGCAGACCCGCTGCCCGGCCCCCTGCTCCTGCTCAGCTCCCTTCCCTCTTCCCACCTGGGAGCTGCTGGGGTGGCTGTGTGCTGGGGTGCTGCCGGGGACAGGGGACCGTTCCCTCCCTGGGCCGTGGCCCACGAGGGGACACACACCCACAGGTGCAGCAGCCGGTGCAGGTGAGGCCAGGCACCAGCCCAGAGCAGGGCCCGCATGCACTCACCCACGCTCTGAGTGGGGGGCTGCCGCAGCATCCTCCCCTTGCCGCCATCCTCCCCTTGCCCCGGGCCTCGCACCTCCAGCGCAGCTCACGGCATGACACAGCCCATGCTGGGGGCTCCCTGCCCCAGGTGTGCGAGCCTGCAGCCCCTGACACTGGGGGAATGGCACTGCTCCCCGGGCCCCCAGCCCCCCAGCAGGGATGCCCGGCCCCCCACGGCTGCAGCCCCCCGGCTCACCCCGCTGCCCCTCAGGTGCACAGCCTACAGGAGCTGCGGCGTAGTGCATCCCTGGCCACCAAGGTCTTCGTGCAGCGGGATTACAGCGACGGGACCACGTGCCAGTTCCAGACAAAATTCCCCCCCGAGCTGGAGAGCCGGGTAGGGAGCCTCGCAGGTGGACAGGGTGGGGGGTGCCCTGTGTTTGTGCCCTATGGGGGGTCAGGGGGAAGAGGGGTCTGAAGGCATGGGGCCCCCATGAGGTGTTGTATGGCCCTGGGCCAGCCGATGCTGCTGGATGCACGCAGTCACAGCTGCCTTGCCTGGTCTGCAAGGGCTTGGGTGCTCCTGAGGACCAGGAAGCTCTAGTGAAGGGATGCAGGCTCAGCAGGTCTTGGCATGGGCAGGAGGTGGGCAGTGGCCAGGGAGCTGAGGCATCAGCTGGGCAGGGAGGAGAGGGTTAAGTGCTCCCCAAGTCCCACTGGGAATGAGGACAGGGCAGTGCAGGGGGTCAGCCTCTGGCCAGACTCCTCTTCACCCTGGTTTCTGCTCTAGATCGAGCGGCAGCTCTTCGAGGAAACCGTGAAAACCCTTAATGGCTTCTATGCTGAGGCGGAGAAGATTGGGGGCAGCTCATACCTGGAGGGGTGCCTGGCCTGTGCCACCGCCTATTTCATCTTCCTCTGCATGGAGACACACTATGAGAAGGTGCTGAGGTCCAGGGGAGGGCTGAGGGATGGACGTGGCTGCAGGCCTGGCGGTGGGCACAGGGATGACACAGGGAGGAGGGGGGACTGGAGGCCAGAGCAGGCAGCAGTGCTGGCAGGCCCTGACCATCCCTCTGCGTGCCAGCAGGTCCTGAAGAAGATCTCCAAGTACATCCAGGAGCAGAATGAGAAGATCTATGCGCCGCGGGGGCTGCTGCTCACTGACCCCCTGGAGCGTGGCATGAGGGTTGTATCCTTTGGGCAGCAGGGTGCTGGGGGGATGACAAGAGCGAGGGGTGGGGGGGACACCAGGAGTGGGTGCTGGGCAATTGGGCCAGCCCGTCTCACTGATGATCCTTAGCAGGGCCCAGATTGAGATCTCCATCTACGAGGACCGGTGCAGCAGTGGCAGCTCCAGCAGCGGCAGCTCCAGCAGCAGCAGCGGTGGTGGGGGCGGTGGGGCAGGGGGCCGGTGACTGGCAGGGAGTCCCTGCAGGGACTCGTACTGCCGGGACAGTGGCCTCTCCGAGCTCCGCAGGCTGCACTACCAGAGCACCCGCTTCTGAGCCCAGGGTGGGTGGGAGGGGGAGGCCAGGGGCTGCCCAGTGAGGCTGGCCACCCCCCCCTGCTCTGTGCCCCCCGCAGTGGCTCTGGCCCTGCTCAGACCCACTGTGGGCAGGGGCTGGTGCTGGGGCATCCCATGTGCTTCCCACTGAGCCAAATCGGTGCCAAGGGGCTCCCGCAGCCCTCCGGGTGCTCGGCGCTGCTGCCCCTGCCCCAAGCGAAGGAGATTGCCCTGCCACGGGCAGCCCCAGCTGGCAGCGCCCTTTGTGCCATGCATTGGGGAGCAGCAGGACCAGCAAAGGCCCAGGCAGCGCTAAAGGGGGACACATACTTATCCCCATGCCCACGGGCACTGCCAGCTCTTGCTGCACCCCCTCCCTAGGGTATCCTGCTCTTGGTGCTGCAGGGTGGGCTCAGCTGCTGCGTGCCTGCTGCCCAGGGTGCCTGGCAGCGCCCTTGTGCCGCTTCAGCTGCATGATGGTGCCATGCATTCACCCCAGCCCTGTCCCACACACTGTCCGTTGCTGCTCCCCAGCATCCTCGCCAGCAGCATCCTTCAGCACTGCCCACGACACTGGGCACTTGCTTCTGCTCCCTGCCTGACCCAGTGCCATCCCCAGCTGGACCCAGAAGGCTCCCCAGCCCCAAGCGCCATGCCCAGGGCAGGGAGGTACAGTGCTGGGCAGGCTCCTGCCCTTGTGCCATGTGCCCCGGGCTCATGCATGGCCCAGCATAGTGGAGGGCAAGCCATGGCATGGGCGAGCCAGGCTCCCTGCCCGGTCCCAGCAGAGCCTGCCCGCACCTGGCTGCTGGCAGCCCCCTGCCTGCTTTGCCCCATGACCTGCCCAATGCAGGGAGGGTGCCCTGTGGAGCAGCTCCACCAGGACCCTTCCTCTCCCGCTGCTGAGCCCTCCCCTGCCCACGCATCCTGCATGTGTCTGCCACGAGCACCCCAATTCTCAGCCTGGCCTGTGGTGGGGACCCTGAGAGGCACCTGGGCCTGGCTGCAAGGTGTGGGGGTTCATGGGCCAGGGTCAGATGGGGGGGAATAGGAGGGTCCCTGTGATATCCAGCACCTCAAGGACAAGAGTCCCTTCCTGGATGCAGGATTGAATCGAGCTGGCGTTGCTCTCCCAGGGTCCTGGAGGGAGAACCCTGCCCCGTGGGACTCCCTTTGGCTTGGTCATGGCATGTGTGCAGGGTGGCCCTGGCCCTGCCGTTCCCACTGGGGCCCCCCCTGCATGGAGGCCTTCCTCAATAAACCCCACGCTTCATCCCCTGTTGCCTGCCCTGTGTCCTCCTGTGTCAAATGGGTGATGCTGGGGGGGGCACAGAGCCAGACTGGGCATCCCCCAGCACAACGGGGTGTGCAGAGCCCCACAAGGAGGGTGAGCATGGGGGAAATAAGGGGGAGGGATGGGCCAGTTGGTGGGGGGACAGTGACAGACCCATGTAGCAGTCATGTGGTCCCAGTGACAGGGACCCACGGGGAAACCAGTGCAGGAAAGGGTTTATTCAGTTGGCACTGGGCGCAACCGACATGGGTCTGGGGGCACCCAGCTGTGCCAGGGTGGGCTAGTTGCGCCGGCAGCGCCCACCCATGCCCAGGGAGAAGCCATGGCGGCAGTGGCAGTGGAAGGAGCCATGGCTGTTGTGGCAGATATGGTCGCAGGGGCCAGGCTGTGCCTGGCACTCATCTATGTCTGGAAAAGAAGGGGAGAGGGTCAGAGCTGTGCCAAGGGTATGGGGCTCATCTGGCATGGGCAGGGCAGGGGATGGAGGGGGCATAGTGGGGGGGGCCAGCTCTGGGGCTGGCTGAAGCTGAGACACGAGGGCATCTCCAGTGCTTGCAGTCACGCAGCTGTGGTCCTGCGACCACTTGTCCCCAAGGCTGCTGGGTGGCAGATGCCTCCTCACTCCATCAACTCCTGCACAGCCACAGTCTGTCCAACCTGTCCCCCGTGTTTTGGGTTGGCCGGGACCAGGGCTGTGAGCATAACGGGGCACCCCAGGAACCAGCATCCCTGCTCGCAGGTCAGCACGGCTGCACCGCGGCAGGTGGGTGGGCACCGTGGGCTGCCGGCCCCGCTGCCTGCAGGTACTCACCCAGGCACTGGCTGGCAGTGGGATCAAGGGGGCGGAAGCCCGGGCTGCAGTGGCAGACGTGTGCCCCGGGGGTGTTGGTGCAGAGCTGGCTGCAGTTGTGCAGGCCCTGAGCACACTCGTCGATGTCTGGTGGTGGGGAAGAGAGCGGCACGGTGTTACAGCAGGCGGGGGGAAGGCAGCACAGCCCTGTTGCTGCGGTGTGGGCAGGGCTGCCTGCTGCACCCCAGCCCCTCCAGTGCTGCACATCTGGCTGTGCTCCCAGGGCTGGGCGGGGGCAGAGGTGCCCAGGGCCACCATGCGCCCTCCAGCTAGCTCCTGGCCCGCGGGCAGCGAGAGCTGGGGGATGCTGGGGGGGCCCCCCCCAAGCCCCCTCCCTGTGCAGCCCCGGGGCAGGGTAGGCAGAAGCACGGGCACAGCCCTGCCCCCCACAGCTCAGCAGGCCGGCTAATAGACAGGATATAGTTTATTAGGGGGGTTCTCCAGGAGAGGGGGTGGAAGACTGAGCAGGGTCCGACTCCAAACAGTGGGGTCAATACATTAAAAAACAGACCAGGAGGGTCCTTCCCCCGCAGGGCCGGGGGGACCCGCCTCTGCCAGGGCTGGGGAGGGGAGTCCCCGTTACCGAGGAGGGGGCAGGCAAAGCACACACGTCGCAGGCCAAACCAGCAGGCACATGGTACGGTATCAAGGCGACGGAGCAAGTGACCGCCCAGGAAGCGCCAGCATGGCAGGAGCAGCACTGGGGCAGGAGGTGCCGGTGAAGGGGTGCTGCCCTGGGACTGCCTTCCTTTCCCAGACACAGCTCCATGCCCATCCCACCGCAGGCCACCCCAGCAGGGCGCAGCCGGCGCTTCCAGGGTGGTTCGACATGGAGAGAAAGAGAGAGAGAAAAAGAGACAGGCAGAGGCCGGCCGGTCCTTCCGCCAAGGCTGCTCTGGCGTGTTACGGGCAGGGGTTAAAGTGCATAGAGGCAAAGGCAGAGTCCGAGGACTAGAGGGAGAAGGGCACTGTGGGGGGGCCCGGACCAGCTCCCGGCGGAGGGGTATCCCCCAAAAAAGGCCACTTGAGCTGCACAGAGAAGGAGAGAAGGAGCAAGAGAGAAAAAGAGAGAGAAAGAGAGAAGGGGGGGGGGTCAGTGGCAGCTCAGCGGAAGGTGCAGGAAGAACAGATACAGAGCCAGAGGGTGGAGGTGGCTGGGCAGCCACCTGGCAGGTTGCAGGATGCGGCCAGGCCTTTGGCAAGGGTGCAACTGCATCCCAGGGCGGTGCTTTGGGGCTGCTGCCCACTGGCTTGGCCAGGCTGCGGTGGCATGGGGTCAGGGCATCCCAGCCATCACTCACCCACGCAAGCCGTGCCGTCCTCATTGGGCTCAAAGCCCCGGCTGCAGCGCTTGTTGCTGCGGCAGCGGTACCCGCCATAGGTGTTGATGCAGATGGGCTTGTCCCGAGGGCAGATGAAGGGGAACTCGATGCACTCATCTGTGTCTGCAAGCAGAGGGGCCTTGGTGTGAGATGGCTGGGCTGGGAGCTTGGGGCAGCCGGCCATGGCCTCTCCGGTTCCCCCTGCACATGCTGGATGACTCCCCCAGAGCTAGCCACGCACAAGCCATGCCTCTGCCCGGAAGGCTCATGGCATGGCCCCGGCCACCCTGCCACATCCCTGCTGCCCCTCCATTGCTTGTGACTCTAGCACAATGCCCGCCACATGCCACCCATGCCTCCTGCCCCGGCAGAGCGCTCTCCTCCCTCCCCATGACACCACAGCCCCCCTTCTAGAGCATGCTGCTGCTCCTATTCCCAGGCCATGTGCCGGGCAGGCAGCTGTACCCCTTATTGAGCCATACAGCCACCCTGCCTGCATGCCCAGCTGCCTCCCTGGCGGCCACCTCCCTGTAGCAGGGTGCTGCCATCGTGCCCCCCGCGGGGCCATGCTGCAGCATCCCGGGTGCAGGCGTGCCTCTGCCCCAGCAGCCACTCACCTACACAGCGTCCGTTCTCATGCTGGGAGAATCCCTGCCCGCACTGCATTTGGGGAGAAGCGGAGACAGCTGGGATGGGGAGGAATCAGCCCTGGGCAGCCACCGAGCCAGCAGAGCCCAGCCCCTCATTCCTGCCCCCCAAAAGGCTCCTGCCCTGCACTCACACCTGGCCCTCACCTCCAGCAGGGCAGGCAGGAGCGGCTCCTCCAGGTCCAGGGGGTAAGGGACCTCCAGGACAGAGTTAGTCTCACTGCTGGCCACAGCTCGTGCCACAACGCGGCCATCCGGCCAGGTAACCTCCAGGCTGCTGGCTTCGTCATGCCCTGCAGGCGGGCAGCCCGTCAGAGGGGGGGTCTCCGGGATGGGCAGGGGCTGAAAGGAGGCCAGGGGGGTGGTAGGGATGGAGGGGCAAAGCCTCCCCTTGCTCCCTGAGCTGCACCCCAGGTGCCCGTGTTGACAGCCCGTGCACAGGGATGTAGCCTGAGGGGTGCACGTGGGGATGATGGGATGGGGCAGGGAACATCCCTGCAGGCTTGGCTGCCAGCTCTGCTGAGCCAGGGGAGGGTTAATGGGCAGAGAAAGCCCTGGTGCCTGGGCAAAGCAGCAGGCAGGGGGTTGGGAAGGGGGCAGCTGCCCCTTGCAGCAGGGCTGCAGTGGCTGGGCACCCTGCCTGCAGCCTCCCCTGGAGCTCACCATGCCCAGGGTAACGGGTATGGGTAACTACCATGCTGCAGGGCACCGGGACAGCAGAGGTGGCTCCTGCCCAGGGGTGTGCCCCTTGTCCCTCCAGCTCACCCAGTCCAAAATGCGCCACAGGCTCCATCTCACAGAGGTATCCTGATCCGCCGTCGATGATGCGCAGGTGGGCCCCGCTGCGCCGTGTGAACAGCACCACTTTGGCCCCCCGCGCAAAGGCCCCGAAGCGGGTGCGGGGGATGACGCGCAGCCAGTTGTTGGTGGTGCCCTGCAAGGGAGGAGGGAGCAGGGAGACTCAGCAAGGAGAGGTGGAAGGGATGGGGACAACACGAGGACCCCCTGCTTGACTCACCTGGGTGCCCTTGAAGATGGAGATCGGCTGTGCCATGGACTCGCCATGGGACAGGATGAGGTCCAGCATCCCATCACCATCAAAATCTGTCACTGCACCCCCTGCAAGGACAGGATCATGTCATGCTCTACATCTCCCAGCACTACACCCTGCTGCCAGTGTGGGCTCCCACGGGCAGCAGCAGCACTCTTGGCAGTACCCGGGCAATAGGGAAGATGGGGTAACCCCAATGCAGGAATAAGGGTCCCTGTATGGGTGGCACCCTGCAATCAGGTGGGTCAGCTCTCTGGGGGCTGTGAGACACAGGAGGCTGCCTGGCCCCTTCCCAAATGCAGAGGTTGGCTTTGAACAGTGGGCACCCAGGAAGGAGCCCCCCAGGAGTGAAGCCCTGCAGAACAACTGGAGATGGCACCATTAGCTGGGCACGGGTGGAGGGAGAAAGCTTGGGGCCACTCCTGGGTGATGAGGGGCTTCAGGATGCTGGTGGGGAGCAGGCAGGTGACTCAGCCAGGCATGCAGCATCCCCAGGCATAGAGGGTGCCAGGCAGTTCTGTGGCACACCCCCTGCATGGGCCCCCACTGCCAGGGCCAGGGGGACCCACCCGTGCCCCGTCCCTCGGGCTCCAGTGCATCCCCCGGATTCAGCTCTTCCACGATGGGGTCAGAGTGCTCCCTGCGAATGAGCCTGTGGAGCACAGACAAGGTGTTAGTACCAGCCTCTGCAGTCCCCAGCACCTTCCTGGGAAGTGCCTGTCCTCTCCCGCAGCAGCATGGTAGAGAGGTGGCAGCCCTGATGGCTATGCAGGGTGAATGGGGCACAGGACTGGCCCCTGCCTGTTAGGGCCTCACGTCCCCCCTCCATGCAGGGTTGACAGGGATGTCATGAGAGCCTGGCTCTTGTGGGTCTGAACCGTGGAGCAGAAATGCCATCCCCAAACACTGCTGCATCCCTCTGGGACCAGAGACCACCCCCAGGGACTCCCTGCTATGCTGCTGCGCTCCATCCACCCATGGGTACCAACACCAGGTGGACAACCAGCTCCCACCGCCCCACACACCAGGTGAGGAGGCACCACATAGCACTAATGAGGAATTGACCCCCACAATTAACAGGAGCCACGAACAAGCTTGAATGCAGCTGCTAATTAGCAGTGCCAGGGACCCCTGGGGCTGTTGCAGGCATGATTGCAGTGGCTGGTAATGACACCGGGAAGGGCTCAGTCACGCCGCCTTTTATTAGCTGAGCCCAAGCAGTGGCATTGCTGGAGAGGAGCCCCTTGAGCCTACCTGTGCCGTGTGGGCTGCTTGACCCCCCCAGAGCCGGGTGAAGGCTGCCCCGGCCCCCCCGGGCTCCTACCGGAAGAGGCGGTTGGCAGAGGAGCCGCGGTAGGCGATGTTGTTGAAGAAAACCTCCAGCTCCTGGTCATTGTCGAAGTCGGCTGCGATGACAGTGCGGACGGGGGACGGCATGGAGAACTTGGGGGTGGCAATGTCCTGTGGGGGGGATGGGTACGGGGTGACAATGGGCATGGTGAGCGGGACACCAGGTCCTACTTTGGTGCTTTGGGTCCTCTCCTCTCTGGGAACTGGGGCTCAAAGCCAAATCAGAGGAAAGCCGCCCCCCCCCCCCCAGCCAAAGAGGCTCAGTAGCAAAGCCAGCAGTGGGGGGGGGTCCCAGCCCTCACCCGGAATCGGACACGCCCAGGGGCCCCGCTTTGCAGGTAGAGGCGGTGCGGCCCATTCCAGTTGCCGTAGACAATGTCCACCCGGCCATCGCGGTTGAAGTCAGCCAGCGCCACGCCACGTCCATGCTGGTAGGGGTCATCCAGTCCTGGGGAGCCACAAGGGGATGGGGGGAGACGGGACCCCCTCCCTGCCTCTGTCTCCCCGGGATGCCTCCCAGGATGCGCCTCGTGGTCCCCAGACAGGTCGTCCCCATACAGGGCTGCATCCCTGCACCGATGGATGCCCTGGTGCACCTCGGCCACCCCCGGTGGTCAGAGGGGCTCTGGGTCCCCGGGGCTGTCTCTCTACCCTGCACACAACCAGCCCATGCAGGTGGGGGCAGGCAGAGCCAGCCCTGCCCTGAGGTCCCCGACGCCTGGGTGCTCCCCCTGGCTCCCCCTACTCACCCACAGCAGCCGCCACGTCCCGGTACGTCCCGTCCCCCCAGTTGTGGAAGAGGAAATTGGGGCTGTTCTCGTTACCGCAGAATATGTCGGAGGCGCTGTCGCTCAGGATGGGGCCCACGGCCACCCCACGACCCCCTGGGGACAGCAGCCCTGGGGTGAGGGGACAGCTGGCACCCTGCCCTAGTGGAGTTCTTGCCCCCCCCATGCCCCCTCGGTACTGCCCACCCAGTGCTCCCAGGACAACCTCCTCATCCACCTCCTGCCTTCAATCCTTCTCATCAGGAGCTAATTGGGCCTGGCAGCCGCTTGTGTCACTCCCAACCCTAATCACTGCCATCGCCATGGTGACAACATTCCTAATTAGTGACAATTTACTGCTGGGGAGACAGGGCACAACAGCAGTACCCATGGTGGTGGGGCAGGATGGGACGCAGGCTGGCACACTCCCCACTGCCCTGTTTGTGTACCCACATCCCCATGCCACACTGCCCGCCCTGCAGATGCTGTGGAGGGATCAGCCCAGGTGATGGTGGGCACGGGGGTCCTGCCAGGTGGGCATCCCGTGGTCCTGGTCCCTTCCACGGGCCGTGGGACTGCCACTAGATGGGGCAGTCAGGCAGCCTAACGCATGGCACAGGCCACCAACTGCACTGCCCTGCCTGCGACGGGGTCCCATGTTCGCCGTGCCCAGCGGTGCCCCGTCCCTTCCACGGGGCCACAGCAGCTGAGTACCTGTATACTTGCTGACACCAGCCTGGGCAGCCACGTCCACCAGCACCACGATGCCGCGGGCAGGGTCACTGGCAGCCACATCCATCTCGATGAGGGCGTGGGGGCCCACGTTGCCGCTGGCGTAGTTGGCGATGTAGATGGAGTACCTGCCGGAGCCCTGTGGCCGGCAGCACCTCCTCAGCACCCACCCGCCCAAAACCCATCTCCACGGGGACCTCAGGACCCCTGCCGTGGGGCTGGATGCTCTCATGGCTCCATGGGACCAGGCACCGCTACCACATGCTGAGCAAGAGCTCTGCAAAGCCCATGGTGAAAAGCACCCCGGGAGCGGGGACATGGCCCATTGTCTCAGGAGCTCTGTGGTCCCCAGGCTCATGCTGCCGGCATGGGGCACCCTGCCCCCACAGCATCCCCAGTGTGCCAGGTCCCCCCCATCCCCACCACTCCCCTTGTCCCGTGCAGCAGCTGGACCCTGATTTAGTGATAATCATTTGGAAACAAACCGCTGGAGGAGGAGGAAGAAGAAAGAGCAGGTGACAGGAACATAAATCACCTCGACAGGCACGTTTATCAGCTGGCGGCAACCGTGTGGACAGGCGCCTGCAGTCCCCACGGCTGGGGGGGCTGCCAGCCCTGACAGTCCCAGGCTGCTTGGGGACACCCCCGGCCCCAGCGGGGGGTGGGATGGGACTGGTGCCCATGCAAGGGGAGAGGTCCCCCGGCGCCCTGCAGGGGAGGGCTGGAGGGGCACAGGGGGTGGGAAGGGAGTGGAGCTGCCCCCTGCCCTGCCTGCTCACCGTCCGGTCCACGCAGGCGACAGAGCGCCCGGCGAAGCGGCTGGCTACGTCCCGGTTCACCTCGTCGCTCAGGAGGTCCTCCCAGCGCCCGTTGCGGAGCTTGAAGAGCTTGTCCGTGTAGGTGGCCATGCCTGGGGGGGGCACGGGTCAGGGAGCTGCAGCATCCCGCCTCCTCCCGAGGAGGGTGCCCTGTGGCAAGGGGAGGCTGTGGAAGAGGTACCCTTTTCCCAGAGCATCCCAAACCTCTGCTCTGTCCCCCACAGCCCCCAGCAGTGCCATGGGGCCAGGCTGCTGCTGCAAGAGCCCCCATGACCCTTAAGGGCCGCCAGGAGACACACAGAAGAATCAACTCATTAAAGTAAAATGTGTCCCAATGGGGCGCAGCCCTGTAGATCATCCCCAGGAAGGTAAAAAAAAAAATTGATTCCATGCCAGGCACAGGCAGTGAGCTGCACGGCCCGTGACAGCACCGATGGCAGCGCCTGATTTAGGGACAGGTGTGCCAGCAGGCACCGCCAGCCCAAGTAATTAGGAGCGTCAGGAAGACGGATCCACTGCCTGGAGGTCAGGGCTATGGGACAGGGACATGGGGCAGAGCTGGGCTGGAGCACCAACCCAGGGAGCTCTGGGGATGCCCGGTGCCATGTTGGGGCATGCAGCTGTCCTCCCCATGACAGATGTCCCAGGAGCTGGGACAGCACCAGCAGGGCAGGATTAGACCTGGCTTGGTCCAGTGGGCACAGGGGAGCCACGGCACGGAGGGGCACAGCTGCTGCAGAGCACAGCTGGGATCTGCAGCACAGGGTCCCTGTGGCAGGGCAGCCCCAGGGGTGGTGGGGAAATCTGCCGTCCCACTCAGGGTGCTGCTGGAAGGGCGGTGGGCAGCTGGAAGTGCTGAATCGGCGGATGGCTGGACTCAGCATCCCGCCCGTGCTGCCATCAATCAATGGAGCCATTCAACTGAGAAATTAACTCCAGCCCGCACACATCCCTCACGCACCAAAGGTCACGGGCGGCCGTGCTGGGAGCTCCCCCCCTGCCCGGGGCTTGGGGCACAGCCGCCAGTGGGGCTCACCAGAGAAGGCGTTGTTGGTGTTGAGGAAGTAGATCTCCTCACGGCCATCCCCATCAATGTCACAAGCTGTCACGCCGATGGCGTTGCCCTGCCGGTCCCGCAGCGCATAGTATGGGGAGTCCCGCTCATCCTCCGCCACGTTCACCAGCCGTCCCCGTGCCTTATCATACTTGAGTACCAGGTTGGGGCCGTTGTACCTGTGGGTGCGAGCAGGGGTGATGGCTCCCCGAGGCCTGGGGACAGGATGAAAGGCCCCAGCCCATCCCTGGGGGGACAGCGGGTGTGACACCAGGTTTTCCCCATGATGGGCACAGCAGAGACCTGCATGGTCCACGGAGGCCAAGGACCCCGGGCTGTCCTCAGCACCCAAATGTAGGGCCGGCTCCTGACTGCCGATGAGGAGGGCTCAGCCTGGACCTGTTCCAGCACATGTCAGGCACCCCATGTCTACCTGGCCTGGGTACCCCAGGGCAATGCCAAGGCAGGGGCTGGGTGGCCAGCAGGCAGGATGGGGCGCAGGTCCCTGCTTGCAGCCCTTTCCCAGGGCAGGGAAACGGGCACGCAAGGCAAATCCTCTCAGCATGCTGCGCCCCACAGCCTCCCCGCCCGCTCCTGCCCGGGGCACCAGTAAACAAGTTATACAACGGGCACCACGGCCGCTTACAAAACCACGGCTGGCTGCTTGGCTCAGCCCAGATGGAAGCAGTGTCCTGGACCACTCAGCGGGTCCCCAGTGCTGCCCGTAGTTTGTTGCCCCAGGGTGATGCTCAGAACCGTGGCAGGGCTGGACTCTGCCTACCACCGCAGTGCCCTGGCTCCTGCAGCCACCTCAGACGGGCTCTTTTGGGGGTGAGGGGTCCCCTCCAAGTGAGCACCTGTGTGTGCAAGGCTCCCTCAGGGGTGAACATGGTGGTGTGTGCACAGACATGCTGCACCAGCAGCTCACAGCCATGCCAGCACACACACACAGAGCCCATGTCATGGCCCCTGCTGTCCCCGGCCAGGGCCAGACCTGCTGGCAGCAGCTGCTCCATGTCCAGCCCCACTCAGGCACTAGCAGTGCAGCGCACAGCTCCCTGCCTCCTGCCAGCCCTTCCAAGCCATCATTCCAATAAAGGGCTATAAAAAACCTCCAGCCAATTAACCGAATCTCCGGAGAGCGCTGAGTCCTGTCAGCGGAGCTGAGACGGCTTGGGGACACGCTGGCTCTGCACTGCAGGGTGGACCCCAGCCGCTGGGCAGCTGCCACTGCCCTGTAGAGGGGGGACCTGGCCCCAGGGCCTGGATGGGGGCACCCACGTGGTCCCACGCAGGCGCCCAGCTGGCATCAGCACCCTATGTGGGTGCACACACATACACATACAAGTGGGTGCATGCAGACCCCCATCCCACCACCCTTGTGCACAACCCCCCAGCCAGCCACATGCCCACGAAGGAGCAAGGAGCTTCTGGCCCTGCAGGGCCACCAGTTCCCGCTGTCACTGAGGCACTGGGTGCACCACTCACCCCGCCACCACGATCTCAAAGTCACCATCGGCATCCAGGTCAGTGACGGCCACACCATAGTTGAGCTGCGTGGGGTTGCTGTCGTAGTCAGGTGGGAGGAGGCGGTGGGTGACGGCTGTGAACATGGGCTCGCTGCGCTGGGAGCCCTCGCTGAGCCAGGCCAGGGACAGCAGGCACAGTGCCAGCATCCTGGGCACCTGGGAGAGACCTGCAGCCCATCAGCTCCAGGAGGAGACCCTGCTCCACGGTGCTCGAGCATCCCCACCACCCTTGCACAGGAGACACTCTCTTTCCACTCCTTGTCACCCACCCCAGCCTGTGCCACCCCACCAGCCCCCTGATCCTTGGGGATTGCCACAGCTCTGGCATCCCCATGCACGGACCCTCCCAGGTGCAGCTCACCCTCAGGGCTTCCTTGGGACAAGACCGTGCTCCAGTGAGCTGAGAGGTGGGACTGAGCAGGAGTGGGACCTTGGGAGCCCATCCCATGGGAGGGACTGGGGAGGCAGCAGGAGGGCTGTGGGCTGCTGACAAAGCTGGGCTCAGCCCCAGCTCTCCCTGCCCCCAGGGGCTGCTGGCACCCAAGATCCTGGCAAGTCACGATGCCAATCGCTGCTCCCTTGGCAGGGCCAGAGGAAGCAGGCAGTTGGCAGGCAGGCTGAGGAGCTTTTCCCCCGTCCAGCTGGTCTTCCAGAGCTTGGGAAGGCCACAGAGAGAACATGGGGATACTCTGCCAGGTGACTCCTGTGTGCCTCAGTTTCCCCACCCTGCTGGCACTGTTCCTCCCAGGGTCTCTGCAGGGCGAGCTCCTCCCAGGCTGGCCAGGGAAGGTTTCTGCACAGGGATGCAACCGCAGGAAGGAGATGCTGGGAGGAATGGGACACTGGGAGGAGAGGCTCAATTAACCTGGACTGCGGACGACAGTGTCTGCCAGCACTGCTGGCAAGGTTGCAGAGATTTTGGAGCTGGCTCTGACCTGGCTGTAGCACAGGTGATGAGCAAGGTGGCACTCAGGATGGCCAGCCCTCACACCAGGTCAGGCAATCCCCTCCAGAGGGGAAGAGCCCAGCAGCAATCTGTGCATCCCTGGGCTGTGGGCATGAACCCATGTGCCAGCACCCCAGCTGGGAGCAAAAACAGCCTGTCCTGCTTTCGCAGACTAGAGGGATGGCTGGGATACCTGGCCACCAAGGTGGGGGACACTGCTCCATGTGACTGTGCCATCCTCCTGGGCAGGGCTACCCCCAAGCACTGGCAGGGGGACAAAGGTGAATGGCCCCGCTGCCAGCTGGTCCCCATGCCAGCGAGCAAAGGAAGCTGTGGCAGCTGCATGGTGCCACACGTGCCTGGCTTGGAGAGGGGAAGATGCTGGAGGCTTAGATCCTGGCAGACCCACTGGGCTGCAGGGAACAGGCTGCTGCCACCTACCCTGGGAATGGGAATTGTCCCAAGGGTCTTTGGGGGGCCAGGATTCCCCTGCCACAACCAAATAGCTTCCATGCCCACCTGGCTGGGTGGGAAGGGGCTGTCCTCCAGCCACACAGGAAGGAAGCCTTGAGCCCCACCACCCAGCACACCCAGAGCCCTGCATCCCACTGCACTGGTCCTGCTTCCCTTCCCCCTCCAATCCCATCTGTTCCCCAGGCCCAGCTGCAAGGGTGGATGTGTGTGTGTGTACCCAGCTCTACTCTGTGCAGCTCCCTTTCCCTCCCTGGCCTGACCCACATCCTCCCACAGACCCCTGTGCAGCCAGCCCCCCTCTGGCACCATGGTCTCCACCACCCAGCCAGATTTGGAGCACTGTGTCCATCAGCCTGCCGTCCTGTCTGGAGTGGCTCTCCAGGGGCAGGAGCCTGGGTCTTTCCCTGATGCAGGTGCCCCATACAAGGCACATGTGATGGGAATGGGGTTTCATTGGGTTGCGCAGGGATGGGACAGTCCCTGGGTGTCACTCTGCCGTGCCAGGCAGTGAGGGAGGGGGAGCCTTTGCCAAAGCCCCACGCTGTGCTCACTGAAGTAAGCATGGGGGAGAGCCATCCACATGTGGACATACGGGCACAGTGCTGATGCAGAGCGGTGCCCCCTCACCCCCAGCCACAGCTGGGTGATGGGTGGCTGTCTCCAGGCCACCGGCAGGGCTCTCCCTGCTCTGCCTCCCCTCCAGCTCCCCACAGCTTGGCCCATTCCCCAGGTACTCCCCTGCCCCAACCAGCTGCAGCAGAAATCCCTCCAGGCTGGATGGAGCCTATCCAGGAGGAAACAATGCTCCTGATTGGAGACAAAAGGCTTTTCCCAGCAGATCGGGTGCTTGGTGCCATGGGGAAGGGATGCACGGCCCAGAGCCAGGCCATTTGGGAAGGGGGAGGGAGGAGGCTCAGGCCCTTCATGGCAGATGGGAAAGGCCTCATGGTTTCCCAGTGTGCTACTGGTAGCACCAAGGCCCAGGCATGAAGCTCCACCTGAGGTTTGAGGCTATGGGGTCCTGCCTGTACCCAGGGCAGAGCTCAGCCTGTCTTGTCCCAGCAGAGCCACATCCCGGCTTGTGTTGTGGCATGTGGTGGCAAGGTCACCCCAGGAGCTGCGGTCATCCCATGGTGCCTGCTCAGCATGGCTAACCCTAGTGACACAAAGCCAAGCTGCCAGGCAGGGGTAGAGGCAGCAGGAGGATGGGAGCAAGGCAGGGAGTGCCATGAGCACCCACACAGGGTGCAGCCAGGCAGTGCAGGGACAGGGTACTGGCTCCATGGCAGGGATGCAGCATGTAGGGCTCGTCTGTCCCCACGCGTGACTGTGGCTGGCAATGCTCTGCGGGGACAGTGGGATAGGACTGGGAAGGGAGCCATGGGGCAGGCGGGGGGTTGTGCCCCAGACTCCTCACCACAGGTGGGGAGATGCTGTCCCCAGGGCTCCTCACATACCCACATGCACATCTCCAGCCCTCAGCCCACATCATGGGGTGGGTGGGAGCTGGCTCTCTGTGCAGCCATCCCGTCCTGCATGCCACCATGACATTGCTGCCCACCATATCATGCACCCCCGTGATGTCATGCTCCAATACTGCAGCAACATCCCATCCCGGGCCGCAGCCACCTCCAGCACCGCTATGACGTTGTGCAGCAGGGGCCCCATCACACCCCAAAGGCACCCCAGAGCAGTGACAACAAGGTGACATCACAGCACCCCATGATAACATGATGCATGTGCCCCAGTAACACCATATTCCCATTCCTGCCATTCCCAGGCTGCCACAGCTGTACCCGCCAGGGCAGAGGACAGGCAGGAGACATCCCGCAGACCCAGCAGCCCCTCTTCCACAGGAGCTGAGCTGCCCAAGGATGCCAGCAGTGTCCCCTCCACAGCACCTCTGGCCCAACCAGCCCAGCCCCTGCAGTGCCTCTGCTCCGGCCAAAGCCCATGAGCCCCAGTCCCGCTGCCCCGGCTGCTCGCTGCTGCCGTGGGCTCAGCACTGCTCCCTCCCACACCTCTCTCACAGACCCTGGCCTGTGCACACATCCCATCACAGATGCTTCTGACAGGCCCAAAGCCCCCAGCTGCCAGCTGGCCTGTCCCTGTCCCCTCCCATGCAGGACTCCTCAGTGCTGGACCCAGCACGCTGGGGCTCAGCCAGCAGCAGCTAATGCAGTGTGGAGATGAGCAGTCACCTTAGCCTCCGAGCTCAGCCCAAAGGGACACCAGGTCCTTGGGGGGCTCAGACCCACCAGCACACAGCCAGCCCTTTCCCATGCAGGCAGATGGGCTGCTGGACCCCTCTCTGCACAGCTCCCAGCCCCTCCACGGGCTCAGCTGCGACCAAGCACAAGTGCCCCTAGAAAGAGGAGCCGTCCCTCGCTTCTCACCATCCTGACACCCCTGCCAGTGCTCCCCCAGTCCCAGCCCGCACCCCCATCACCGCTCCATCCTCCTGAGCCCGATCCCACCCCAGCCCAGCATCCTCCCATCCCCGTCCCCATCCCCTCCTTCATCCCCCTTCCTCCCACCCTGCCCAGCCCGCATCCCCTCCACGCTGCGGTGCCAGGCTGCGTGCCCACCGTCCCGCTCCACCCGCCACCAACTTCTCTCCGGGCCGGTGACCGTGCCGGAGTTGAAAGCCACCTCCTCCTCCTCCTCCTCCCCCCCGCGCCGGGAGTCCCCGGGAACCGCCACCGAGACACCCCCCCCCCCCCCCCCCCCCCAACTCACGGGCCAAGGCGGGTGCCCGGCGCCCCCGCGGCGGCGGGAGCGCATCCCGCAGCGCTCTCCTCGCTGCGCCGCACCACCCGGCTCCAGCTCCGGCGCTCCCCGGCTTCCGACGGGGCCGGCCCGGCCGAGCGGCGCCTTATGTAGGGCCGGGCGGCGGCGGCAGCGCCAATGAGCGGGGTGAGGGGCGCCGCTGCCAATGGGGAGCGCGGAGGTGGGGCTGCGCCGCGCTGATTTACTGCCCCCAGCGCAGCGGCAGCGCCGGCCGGCGTGCTTGGGGGGGGACCCGCCGGGGGGCATCGCCCCGGGCACCGGGCCCGCCGGGGCTGGGGGACGGGGGGCTTCCCGGGTAGCCGAAGCCGCGGCTGGAGGGGGAGGTGGCTGGCGGCAGCGGGGGCGCTCCCGGCTCGCGGGAGGGGAGCTGCGCTTCGGAGGTCGCCCCGTGGGTGCCGAGGGGTGGGTGGTGGTCGGGGTACGCCTGGGCACGGCTTCCCGCCTCCTGTAAGGGCAGCTGGGGCCAGCAGAGCCGGGGATCTGCCCCGGCCTGGGGGCAGCGGGGGTTTGCCCCACAGAGCAGTGCGACCGCGGGCACGGGAGGGGGAAAGGGAGCGGCGCCGGGCAGCGCCCGTAGTGCAACGCCTGGCCGCACCCCGAGGGCTCAGCACCCTCCCTGTGCCATCACCCCGCAGGTCACCCACCTCCCTCTGCGGGGACCCCGGGAGTGGCTGTGCCCCGGCGGCCAGTCCAAACTTCGAGCAAGGCCCCGTCTCAGGCCACGCAAGGCACTGACTTGCCCCAGATCTTGTAGCCGGTGGATGCCTGAGGCAGGATGGCACTTAACCCGCAAGCCTGACGTGTCTTTCTCCTGCGTGGCTGCTTTGGGGCTGGGCACAGAGCTCTCTGTATGTCTCGGGATGCAGAAGGTGGCTGTGGCAGGGACTGGGACAGCACTGGCAGGGCACAAGGCTACCAGGTCACTCCAGTGGAGCGCATTTGCAGGTGCCCCAGCATGGAACCTCGGGCTGCGGCCACCAGGAGAGACAGCAGGAGACACCAGGAGAGACGTGCTGGGAGACAGCAGGAGCCGCAGGAGCCCACGCCGTTCGGGCCGCTTCAAGTGGCTAATCACCTGCCCTGCTAAACCCCTTATTTCTCATTCGAACGTGTCTGGCTACAGCTTCTGCCTGTTGCTCCCGGTTCTCTCCCTGCTGGATTCAAGAGCTCTCCAGTCACAGCGATTGTCTCCTATGAAGGTGCTTCCATGTGACCATCAAGTACCCCTTGATTTCATTTTTGATGACCCCCTCTTGCAGGGTGCCTGGCTGAGCACTGGGCTTGCTGCATGGCTGCCTGCTGCAGGGCCCCTACAGCCAGCGCGATGGTGTCCAGGCATGGGGAACCTACTGTTGGGTACTGCTGTGGGGCAGGAATCACCCCTGCTCTCCACATTTGCCACAGGGAGGGCGGGATGCTGAGCAAACCCACTGGGGCTGGGGGGCCAGCATGACCGTCACACGCATGCAATGCTGTGCTCACGTGTCCTCGTGTGCCCCAGAGCTGCGGGTGCACTCTGCCTGCCTGTGGCCCACAGCTTGACTGCCTGGCTGCAGCCTTGCATGTGCATGTGCGCTCAGGGCAAGCATCCCCTCTGCTGAGTCGTTAGCTCATCCCAGATTTAGTAACCACCTGGGTAATTATTAGCACAAATTCTGCAAGCCGTCTCCCAACGCCTTCCCTGCGACTGGCAGGTACAGAACACAAACGCCGGCAGGAAGCCAGCTCGAGCATGCCAAGACTGCGAATGGTGCGAGGCACACCGGCTCCCCAGGGCCACAAACCTGGCGTGCCAGTGCATCGGGGCTCGGCCCCGGCCCTGAGCGTGTGCGTGCCCACCGGCAGATGCAGGCAGGCCTGCCAGCACACTGTGCGCATGCACCTGTACAGGCGTGTGTGCGCATAGGTGTGCATGCATGACGTGCACAGCTAGACACACAGCGTGGTGTGCACACACGCAACTCCACAGGTGCACACACCATGTCAGCAGGGATTTACTCACGCCATGACACCCCATGGGTACACACATGCTGCGTGCATGCGGGGCACATGTGCCAAGAGGGCCTTGCATGCTGCAGCCCCGAGGCCATGCTACTGCACCCAGCAGGGTGATTTTCCAGTTGCGAGGCTGCAAGGTGCTCCCCAATACCCACTGTTGGAGCCCCTCGGTGCCCTTCCCATGGATGCTGCCACCGCGCCAGGCTGGGATGTTTCTCTGGGGGATGAGAGCAGCCAGCAAGCACCTTAGCATGACAACTGGTGTGGCTGTAAGCCACAGCCCTGCGTAAGTCCCTCTGCCCCATGCTGGCCCAGTTTGGCCCAGCCATCTCCATCCCACCCCTCTGCTTGCACCCACATGGGGGGCATGGTGGGGCAAGCACCCCGGGCTGGGACATGGGTCTGTGCAAGGAGCTGCAGAGGGGAGCTCAGAGCATCAGTGAAATGAGCTGGGATGTATGCGGGGACGATCGCAGGGCTGTGAGGCAGGGCGCGGGCACCGGGGTGTGGAGAGCCTGGCTGTGCGGCGCACCGGGGGATGCGCAGGGGATGGTGGTGGCGGTGGGGACAATGCACAGGAAATTAGAGCGAGCGGCAGCCAGACACGCTGCGGGGGGAAGGGAGCTGCTGTGCTCCACCGAGGGCTGCACGTAGGCAGGAGGAGGCTCTTCTGCTGAGCTGGGGCCAGCGTGAGCACCAGCCACCTTCTCGCACACCTGGGATACCCTTTTCCCATCCCCAGGGCAGAGATGCTCCTGCTTTCCCTGGCCCTTGTTCCTGGGGTGCTTGCCCCATCCATGCCGACCCAGGTCCCTGGGAATGGGGAACCTCTTGTGGCTGGCAGCCCTGACACCCTGCGTCTCTGTGCCTGGTGGCTCATCTGCCACCCTGGGCCCTGGGGAGAAAGGAGCAGGGTGCTGGGATTCAGTCTGCCCCTTGCTTGCATTGCAATGGTTGAAGGGGTGGCATGGGGCTGTTTGCTGGCAGTGCCGAGTGCTCTGGACAGCTGGGGTGAGCCTGTGGGGTGGCAGTGCAGAGTGAGCCCTGTGGCCCTCACAGGGACAGCACTGCTCTGGGAGCTGGAGGACCCTCAGCAGATGGGAATTCACCCAGGACCAGCTGGATTCATGGAGCACCCAGCTTGTCCCCTGCAGCAAATTCCAGATGGTACAACACAAACTGGGTGCAGGTGAGCAGAGCGATGCTGACTCAAGGCACTAACCTCCAAGATACTTCACTGGGGCCATTGTTCCTCTTTCAAGAGCCTCTTGAAGGCCAAGACACCTGCACACAGCCTGGTGGGTACACAGCACACACACTGTCAGCACACTCACGCACCTACATGCATGCATGCAACACAGTCTGTGTGCAGACCCCCATCTGCACGCACTCTGTGCACACACATGCACACGTGGTAGGTGAGCACCCAACATGCTGCCCAAACATGCGTGTGGCCTGTGCACACACACATATCTGCACTCACATGCAGCCTGTGCACTGCCCACACATGCATGCAGTGATGTGCATGCACCCCAACATGCACCATGCCCTGTGCACTGTTGCTCGCTGCACCCACTAGCACAGCCAGGCGGGCCGTACCAGCCACCCTTGCTGCTTTTTGACACTAGAAGAGGGTATGTGCTGTCACCACAGTACGCTGTATGATCCCCCAGCTGCCAAGCTGACCCTGGCTTCTGCCTGGCACCACTTCCTTCTCTGGAGGGGCTGTGCTGGGACCTCCCTGCTCTGAGGGTCTAATTTCCACCCTAAATGTATTCATGGATAATTTATCCCCAGTCATTTCTGTGCTAACATTGTCTTTTAGCTGAAATAGCTCTTCTCCCTGGCGTTTACCCCACGATGTATTTATAGTGAGTGCTCTGTTCCCCCGCAGCCTGCGCTGTGCTGGGCACGAGCCACTGTCCTCCCATCATGGGTCTCCCAGGCTCTGCCTCCCTTGGCAGCCCTGCAATGCCTCTGCTCGTCTCCCAGGCTGGCACCAGCACAAGGCAGGTCCCCTGGGGCCCATGCAGGGATGCAAGCAAGTCCCCAGCCCTGCCAGAAATGCCTCTCCCGGTATATCCCTAGGATTGCTTTTGACTCTCCCACGACTGCATGCCCGTCGTGCGGTGCCTCACAGCAATGGACTCCCACACTCAGCCAGCTGTTGGCTCCATCCGTCTCCTCCCTGTCATCCCCTCCCTGTCACTGTCCCGCAGCACCTGACCTCTTGCCTTGCCTGTGGACTCCTGCCAGCTCTGGTCCCGCACCCTGGGCCAGCCCGCTGTTCCTCAGTGCCTGGACACCTCCCGGCACCAGGGGCAATTTGTGCTGGGGCTGGCAGTGACCTGGGGACTCCCACTCATCCCAACGGCTCCCCATGAACTGCTGCCTCCCACCAGCCCTTCCCCAGTCCCCTCTTCCTGCCAGCAAGGTCCCTCTCAGGCACTTGCTGGGCACGGGAACCCCTGGCGAGGTGTTATCTTATCACGGAGGCCAGGTCAACACTGAGGTGTGTTTTATCTTGTCTTCCAGTCCCCTTTATCGCAGGCTTACTGCACCCTTGGCAGCAGCCAGGTGCAAAGGCTGGGCCCCAGGCACTGCCCAGCCAGGGGGCCCCAGGGGCGCCCAGCCCCTGCCCCAGGACCCCTGGCCCCACAGCTCACTCCCACCCCAGTCCCTCGTTCTGCACAGCCTCCGTGGTCCCTGCACGGTCCCCAGCCACTCCTGTCACCGTGTGCAGTGCCCCTGGGTCCCTGCTTGGACTCTTCCTGTCGCCGGGACATCATTAGAAATGTTAATTATTAATTATCACTAAAAGCCCTTTTTGCTGCATTGCTGTTCTCTGCCTATCTCTCTGCCCCGTGCTGCCTGTAACCGGATCCACCCGCGCTCGCCTCCCGCCTCGCAGTCCCCGTCCCTGCTTTCCCTTGCTACCTGCCGGGGCACAGGGTGGGGGAGTGAGGGCAGTCCCCCTTTCCCCTGCAGGACATGGC